TGTCTACTAAGGCATGCAACTCAATGTCGTTGACACAAATCTTAGTTGTAACACGCTATGAGCAGGTGGTAGCAGAGGCTGTTAAAGCGGAAGATAGAAGGGTTCCAATGGCTGAAGTAACTGCTCGATTGGTTGATGTTGACCGGCAAACACGTTTAAAATGTCCCATTTTTCCAAACGCCTTACAAGTAGCGTCTCTGGCAGGACACTTTGTTCGTGAATGCTTCGACAAGCCACAAAAGTAGCATGTTTCTTTGGACACAGCAGATAGAACCGGCCCGGATTCAACCGTCAGTAGAATCAGGGGACGACGTCGAAGCAGATGAGGCACAAGGTTGGTTTTCGGAGCCATTGTTGTTGTTGAACAGATTCTAATAACTTTGCCATGTCGCATGCGGTTTGAAAGTTTGAAAGAGACACTTGCTCTAAAGGTCGCGTTCGAATGTTATTGAACAGCAATCTGGTAATAAAAGCATCACACAGCGTCATCACGGTATTGTTCGGCAGATACAGAACGAAAGTCGCAGTCCATCGAGAGTGTTTTGATCTTTTGGACGAACTGATCCACTTTCTGGTCACATTCTTGTTTACAAGTCGCAAGGAGGTGTCCAGCAAAAATTACATTCCTAGGACGTACGTACAAAGATTGAAGTAGAGATATGTCGTCGTCTAAGGTATTACAATCCGATACATGTTCATAGACAGTCGGCGATAAAAGTTAATCAACATGTCTAGCCTCTCTGGATCTTCAGCCTGGACGCGTTACAAGAAGGCTTTGAACGTTCGAGACCAATAGATCCACTGTTTCGAAGCGCCGGGAGCGTTCAAATCATTGTCGAATTTTTCAGGGCGGAGGTAACGATTCATCGCTTATTAGACTAGTAAATTTTTACGAGCGACACCAAGCGAGTACGGTCACAACGGTCGAGCTGAGAGAGAGAACGTACCAACCGGAAGATTACGCTTTACTCGTCTAATAATATCGGTACGTGGGCTGAAAAATAAAAAAAGTAATGACGTGAGTAACAACATACGGAAATAGAACGAATAATGTGGATCAGGCTTTCCACATCATTTATCACACGCTTAGTCGGGGCGATAGCTCTCCAAAAGTTGAATCCCCCCTACCGCGAAACCAAAAGCAGGTCGCTTGGGCTTTAACTTTGTCATGATCTCGGATGAAGAAACCCGACAATACATCCTCGAGGGACGCACCAGTGACTTAGACGAGATGCGTATCCGGTAAACAAGTATGGCATACTCTCTATGCATAGTTTGTTGCGATCTGAACCAGATAGACGGACACGAATATTAATGATTGTAACGGTGCTTTGATAAATTTATCAAAAAAAATTGTTCGCACACAGACTTCTTTCTGAATATATTTGTGTCTCGTTTCTCGGCTCTTTTAATTAGATCGACTCCCTTGCCTGATCAATCTGTTGATTCAAATCGCACTCCATCGTCTCTTTCCCCAGTGATACCTTTGCACTGCTTTGAGTCGGCAGAATTCGCCCTAAACTCCGGGGTTCATCGACGTTCCCGTTATCAACTTTTACCAGTGCGTTTCAATTGCCTGAGAGCATTGAAACACTTGGTTCCATTGGAAACAATGTGAAACGATTGTAGCTCGGGATGTGGATGTTGATGTTGAGAGTGTTCTCCGAACAGAACACCCTACAGCAACACTTGATTTGGATTGCCTAGTGAAATGCTTCGTCTGTGGAACAGACGAAGCATGAAATAAGAGTCGAAAAGTATTGTACAATCCTCTTGACTTATCATCAGTGCGAGTCTATCGACCCAATTGCAAATCACGTACTCGGAACCTTACTGCTGGAGTTGAAGCATTCTATCCACTTGAAAGGCGGGTAGCTGACCAAATCATTTTTCTTTCGGGCCTTTTCGACTGCGTACTTGATTAAGTAATGCAAAACGCTCTCAATTATCTCACGATACAGCTCGGTTCTTCTACTTGGATTGCGAAACTGTATTTCGCAGGTGACATCATCATCTATAGGGACTCTCCCGAAACCGGCAAATTGTCTATCATTTGCATCGGTGCCTCTGAAAACAATCATCGGACGATAGATTCAGTCAAGACTGAAATATCGACAACATTCTCCCATCCACGAGAAGATTGAAGGTGAACCCAATTCAAACATCCTAACTCTACGGCCAAAAATGAAATCACGTTATGAGTGGATAGTGCAGGCCACCAGTTGTGAGAACCTGTGGAGCTACAGTGCGAGGTGCCTGCGCAGTAAGGTACGAATCGTTTTAGCTACCGGACATAACGCGCATGTCATGTGCGGAAATGGGAAGTTTTGGTTTGTTTCCACCTGCGATGCATCCCAAAATTACAATGGCAGAAGTTCGGGGACGAAGCGGCGATACCGATAAATTTCCTTTTTTTGCTCTCTGTCACTCCGTCATTGGTTTGGTCATGTTCGTCGACGACCTGCAAACCAATTCCAGACATTGTTTCTTGCCGTCACCACTTCAAAGGTTGCTCTTTCCTCCGTTGGCCAGGTCAAAACGTGGTTCAGTAAGTCGCGGAACAATTTGGCCTTCAAATTGTGTATGGCCTACAGGAATGGAATAGGGATTGAGTATTACTTTGCACGGGTCTTGCCACTAACCTGCCGGGGCCTTATGTGGCTCGCCACTCCAAGTCTCGGGGCTAAGGTTGCCGGTTTCCACCACTGAACAGCAGGTCCTCGTGACTATGGGGTTCGCCCCGTCTACCGTTCGTCACACGTGAGTGTGTAATAACAAAAATAAAACAACTAACCGAAAAGCGTGAACATCACCGATCCGAGACATCCACCAAGCCAGCTTATGGTCACACGACTAGTAGCATAAAAATAACCTTACGTGAATAAGTTCGCAATTGACTGATGGGTCGCAGTTGTGGAGTGGTTTCAAAAAATTCCCAGATGTTGCAACAAGACCCGTTGTACTTCATTTACCCGTTGCCACATGATAATTGTTTTATCTCTTAGTCACATTGATGGGTGAAATCTCTTGAAAGATAATCGTTAAAGCCGTACTATAGAATAATCCATAGGATCTTTTTATTATTATTGTTATTTTTATTACACACTTTCGTGTGATGAGTAGCAGACGGGGAAAGCCCTTTAGTCACGAGGACCTGCTGTTTAGTGCTGGAGACCGGTAACCTAAGCGCCGGGACTTGGAGTGGCGAACCACATAAGGCCCCGCTAGGTTAGGTTTGCTATTGAACCGGACGACAGCAGATCATAATATATTATTTCGTTCACCGTTCTCATTCTGGCTACATTCCAGGACCAATATCCGGTGGACATCATCAAACCGATATGGCTGCTTTCATGGCCGCGGTGGAAGCGGATGCGGCAGAGCGGGCACAACGTCGCGCCGCGCAGCGTGCACGAGCCACTAAACTGAAAGATCGCGCGAACACATTCTTCAAAGCTGGTGATTGTCGACGGGCCGTGGAACTCTACACCCAGGCCATCGAACTGGCAAAAGATTGGGATATACTGTACACTAATCGGGCCCTGGTATGTGACCCCTGTGTGATGATCAAAATGTGTTGGCACGGTTTTGTCTGATTATGGTTGTAGGTGACGAATTTTAGTCATCGTTTTTTTTGTTTACCTTGCTTCCTTTATAACTTATATCATCCAAAAAAGTCGGTGTATGGGTGGCTGAGGAGTTAGAAAGGTTTCTAAAATTCATGTCACGGCTATCTTGTGTGTTGAGTGTGCGAGAAGCTCGTCCCGATTGATCGCTTATAAAAAAGGCCAGTTTCCGGTTTTTCTTTCATTAGTGAAGTAACACAGGTTTTGCGGTTTTATTTCTCATCTCTCTCTCATTATCAGTCCTATGTAGAGCGGCGAATCTCGCGGTTTGCTGTCCATTTGCATTATGGGATAGGAGCCAGATTAGAAGGTTGAAAGCAGTGCCGAAGAGGCTATGGGGAGTTTTGGTGGTTGCTCCAAACAACGTTGTGTGTTGAGGTTCAACACTTGTTCCAGCGGGCTGCCACGATTTTCTCCAACTGTGCGCCCAAACTCAGCAGCACTTGTCGCGTGGCGAAGAAAGCGGTATTCGGACACCAACAGATTATCTGTTTTTTTTACGGGTGTAAGAGGAGGAATCGGAAGTGAACCTGTTTGCTGCTTGAAGTGAAGACCAAGTGATTTGCTCTGGTCAATGTACACAGCGTATACGGTCCTCCACTGTTCAACCATTCTGGTCTGCTTATAAATGAGAGCGAGAACACACCACTATTGTTGGTTCGCTACCATTGCCTGCAATGCTTCCGACCGGCCGATCACTAAGTCTTTCGGGTCCCAAACTAGAACACGGGAGGCACCCACTGCGCCCTTATGCCCTGTGAATTTCTTCGTCTCTCATCTCTGTGTGATTGTTC